TACTCACTCTTTCCCTAGTTTGCGTCCTAGAAATTTCAATTGTATTTTCTGATTCTAAGTACAAGTATTCATTTTGTTTCAATTTTCTTTAAAACTTCCCGACATGCTCCGTCCACGGTATTCACATCGCAATTTTTTTTATGGCGCATATCTCCTCTTCGTCTTTGTGTGTGTGTGTGTGTGTGTGTGTGTTTGTTCTGAACAATAAAAAAAGTTAAAAAAATTAAAATTTCAGACACACTAGAGTCACACCACAAACTCGCTTTCACGGCGCTTGACTCTACATTTCAATGATAACTCTGACATTTTAGACATTTAAAACAACATGCCTGGCCACGTACACAATTCTGGAAAATCCTTGTTGAAAACATAACAATACTTAAACATAAAACAATAAACAAATATTCAAAATTTTTTAACTTTTATACATAAAACAGTTGAAACCTAACCCGAATAAAATAAACTATGAAATCTCCACAAATATCCTTAAACGCTTATAATTTATAACAGAAGCTATTGGGTTATACCAACGGCTTCCCATACTTAATACTTCTCGTTTTTCACTCTCGCGTGGTCATGTGTGTCATCACGAGCTACGACGCGGTTTTCGCTTCCGCGTCTCGTATATACGAATTTGTTGTTACTTGGAAATTTTCATGCAGCAAGGGCGGACTATCATTGTTGTTTCGTCCTTGTGATGTTAGATTTATTGAAATTGTCAGCTTGGATAATGGCTTGTGTAAGCCGAAAGCTTAGATTGGATTTAAACATGTATCAATATGGTGTTTTCCTTTCGTCTTTCAACAATAATGCGATTAAGCTTGTCAAACAGTATGAAAGGAACTTAAAATAAATAGACAAAACTTGTCTATATTATTTAATGAAACATGAATTAATGAATACATATACATATACACATATGTATATTTATACATGTATGTACGCATGTATCTATCTATCTGTCTATCTATCTATCTATCTATCTATATATATATATATATATATATATATATATATATATATATATATATATATATTGATCTTTTGAAAGGCCCTTCTGCTATTCCAATACATCTTCGAATTTCTCTGTGCCTTCGGATATTTTCCATCGTCCGTTTTAACACTTCTCAGTAAATTATTTTTGTATTTTGGTACTTGCTTAATTCTGATGTCCCCAGTTCATGTCTTGTATCATGCAGTGTTTATCTTGCTAACTACCATATTCCTTTCTTCTTGTTTTCCTTTAATTCCTTTTCTAGGACTTTCTACAGTTTTGTTTTTGTATGCTATCAACATGGTGACATCTTCGTATCTCTTGTTCTTAAAATTCTGTCCACAAATGATAAATTTGGTATTCAAATATTCCTTGTATAGAATAAATACATACTGGGAGAATACGACTTGGTAGTCTCATGCCTGCTGCTTTCAATTTGAGCGTACATAATCAATTCAGTTCACATGATATATTACTATTTTTTTTTCTAATAATTGTATATTTGATTGTTTCAATAATTTAATCCCTAGTAAAAACACAAAACACAAGGAGTTGCCGAGCGAGAAAAAATATGAAAAATAAAAGAAATATTATTAAGTAGCGAGAACAATACAAGAGGAATCAAGAAGACAGAAGATTGAACAAGCCTAACTTCACAGGTGACAGTTTAAAAATGTGGGAGGTATTTCTTCCGCACTTTATAGTTAATAACTTAACATTATTGTATGAACATGGAGTAGACATCAATAATTTTTTAAAGTCTAAAATTATGTCTACCAGGCTGTGCATTCGAGAGTCTTATTAAAAAGAATGTGCCTTCCTGCAAGGTTCGAAGGTCCTCGCTATAGACGAAACGACCATAAAGCTCAATTTAAAAATTGAACGACTGTTTTCTGATTCATTGGTGTCTATATATCTTTTTTATCCGAAAAGTAAACAAAGTAAAATTACATAGGTATTTTTGTTATTAATCATTTCACCCCATGCAAGGCAATTATGCCACTAAGACATAAAGTGTTACTGAGGTTGAAATCAAAAGAAAAAAAAAAAGAGAAACATTATTAAGGAACGAGAAAAATAATTGAAAAGTAATCAAGAAGACAGTAGATAACGATTGATATTACATTTAAATTTTTGAAGATCTAATTTGGCTGGAAAACATGAACTGGAAGAGATTTCCACAAGCGATCAAATTCAACTCTAAATCGATGAGACATTGCCGCCAATATAATACTATGCCTACGTTCATAAAGTCTAGGTACCGTAGTGGAGAGTGATATTTATTCTTTTTTTTATTTACAGAAATGTGGTACAAGTCCAAAATGGAGAATATGGAAAAGTGCGATCTTCTGTCTTAACATTAAACAGCTTCAAACTCTGACCCATTTATACCACAATATTCCTAACACCAAAACAACGCATTCTTACTTACCATTCTTACTATATCAAGCATAGTGGAAATTTAATCATAACAACAACCATGAAAGTATTTATAGAACAAGCATAGGAAAGCAACATTAAGGCTGTGAAAAATTGTTTGAATCCGAGACGCCAGGTCAGGACCAATAATATTGCTGATTCTTTTTGGCTTTTAACAAGAATTTCTAAATATATAGCAGGGGCACTGAGGCATATATGGCAACAAAATTCCAGGAACGGACGAATGGTAGACTTATAAATATGTAAGATAGATTCTAGCGAGAAAATTGTCTAATACGACATAGTGTAAAATAATTATCCCAAATTGTTTCTTTTCAAATAATACTTATCTTTTATTCTCAATATCAAGAAATCGGAAACAGGCTTTCCCGGATGTTTTTACACCATATTATTACAATATACATCAGAAGAACTAACCACCAGCGATTTCTTGGGTATTTTTTGGTTATTTTATTTATATATATATATATATATATATATATATATATATATATATATATATATATATATATATATATCAATGTTCCCCGTTCGACTAAGATGTGTAGCACAATCAGGAATGCTAAATAAAACGGTTCTTCCTTTTTACATTAGCCTGTCGGTCTGCCTGTATGTTCTGAAGAAATTGAACGTTGGAAATCGTAAGTACATATTTTCTTATCAGTGATACCTTATATTCCTAGCTGGTGTTTCTTTTCTTTTTTCTTTCCATTCCTTAGATTAATGTAAATATTGAGTTTGGTAGGGAAATAAGGAAGCTTTTTTTTTTTTAATTTAATCAGCGAAAGATAAGCACTCAAGCAAATTTAGAAAAATATGAGAGGAGTTTTATTTGTAGATTTAGCTTTAACGAAAAGAGAAAATGGTGAAAGGAGAAGGAGACAATCGGAAAAGAGAAAAGAAAGAACAGAAAATGAAACGTTATTGAGATGCCCAAGAAAAAGAAGTAGAAGAAGGAAGAAGGAGAAAGGAGAAAGAAAGAGGAACGAGAAGAAGAAGAAGAAGAAGGAAGAAGGAGAAAGAAAGAAGAGCGAGAAGAAGAAGAAGAAGAAGAAGGAAGAAGGAGGAAGGAGAAAGAAAGAAGAGCGAGAAGAAGAAGAATAAGAAGAAGAATAAGAAGAAGTAGAAGAAAAAGGAACAAGAAGGAAAGGTCGATTTTAATGAAAGGAAGGCAGTAAAAAAGAATAGAAATAAAAGTCAAACAGAAAGCATAAGAAAGAGAAAAGAACGAAGACGAAACATTTTTTTTTAGATTAACCAAAGAGAAGAAAGAATATGCAGTTGATGTCCTAAATTAAAGACAGAAAGAAAATGAGAAAAGGAGGGAAAAGGGGCAAACAAAAGAAAACTGAAAGGCCGAAAAAAAAAACAAACAAAAAAAAAACAGAATGAATCACAGGTGATAACGAAGAAAAAAAAAGAAGGAATGATAAAATGAATTAAAAAAAAAAAAGAAGAAGAAAAAAACCGAGAAAAAAATGTGGAGGAACAATAAGAGGAAAAAAATAAAAAATAAAAAGTAGAATATGTATCAAGGACGAAAGATAAACAGAATGGTGATTTTCTAAGCGTAGCTTAGCTGTAGCACGAGGACAAATGTATGGGGCCCCCAGTGAGGATCGAACTCACTATTCAATCGCAATTGATCTAGCAAGACAAGCTCGCTAACATTACAATACGACAAATTGCTACTAAACGATTTTCAAAGTGTAGCTTAGATGTGGCACAAGGCCGAATGGATGGGCACTTAGAAAGAACCGAACTCATTATTCAGTTGTAATTGATTTACCGAGACAAGCTTGATAACAATTACATCACGTTGAAGTGGTACTAAAGGATTTTCTAAGCGTAGCTTAGATTTGTCACAAAGGCGAAAGTGTGGTGTACCTAGTGAGGACCTAACTCACTACTCAATCGTAATTGATCCAATGAGAAAAGCTTCCTGACCATTACACAACGTCGAAGTGCCAACAGATGGGCAGAATGAATGATAAGGATAGAACAAAAAAAAGACAAGAAAATAGAGAAGAGGATGAAAAAGAAGTAAAGCAAAAACGGAGAAAAGAATAAAAGAATGAATGAGAAGAAAAAAGAAAAAAAAGGAAGACGAAAAAGAGAACAGACAGGAAGTAAAAATAAAGAAAGCGGAAAGTAGAAAAGATAAAGAAAGGAAAAAAGACAGTATGTGAAACGGAACGACGGTAATTTTATTTTTTACCCAACCTAGGAGAATACAATTATATAGGAAGTTTTTAATTTGAACTTCAAAGCTAACAAGGAAATAAAAAATGCAAAAATAAAACGGAAATCCAAAAAGCGACGAAAATAATTGAAACTTAAAAACAGATATCTTTCTTCCCTAACAAAGAAAATTACGAAGAAAAAAAAAAATGGAACTTAAAGATAAACGCATAATAGGAATTACTGAAGAATTATGTGTAAAGAAAGCAAAATAATCCATGGCATTCGCGCCCCCTAAATTCAAATTTGGAAAATGAAATAAAACTGAATAAAGAAAAGAGATAAATGAATGACAGAGAGGAATGTATACGACAGGAAAGGACATGAAGATTTTCAATACGGAGTAAGTTTTAATAAACTCATAAAACCCAGATTAAAAGATGCATGAACATGAGGATGGAGAGAAATGACAGGCAGTGAGTCTCTACCTTTATTTGAAAAGGAAATGGAAAATGCATTTTGAGAAATAATACTTGAAGATTGTTAAGTAATGTGAGTTGAGAAAAAAGTACATAGCAAAAATAATTTTCAAGTAGGAGCATTTACACACATAAATAAAATCACACACACAAAAACACACACACACACACACACACATATATATATATATATATATATATATATATATATATATATATATATATATATATATATATATATATAAAATCGAAAGAAGGACAGAAAAATAATGAGGTTTTAGAGAGAGAGGGACAGACTGTTAAAAAGAAATTAAGATGTGGAAACGGAGTATGATGAGGCGAAGAAAGAAGTAACCCAAGAGAACGTGTCTATTGCTAATGCATATTATTAATGTAATCTTTTACCCATCGACCAATCATTCTCGAATATTCGCCAAATCATCTCAGGTATGCGTACAGCCTTCTATTCTCTGTTAATCTCGACTAGAAAAACCCACAAACATACGCATGAACACACACAAACACGCATATATACTTACAATCAAAGTATTAGTATATATAGTCATAAGTATTAGACGACACTCAATTTATCTTACTCTGTTTATATTTAGCTATCTTAGTTTCTTCATATCTATCTATCTATCTATCTATCTAATATTTTCATATCTGCCTGTTCATACCTATCGCAATATATTCATATCTATTTTAATCTGTTGGTAAGTATTTTAATCTGTTCATATCTATCTCACTCTATTCATATCTATCTCACTCTGTTCATATCTATCTCACTCTGTTCATATCTATCTATCTATTTATCTATCTATATGAATATTTTCATATCTCTCTCAATCTATCTATCTATCTATCTATCTATCTATCTGCCTATTCATATCTATCTGAATATGTCCATATCTCTCTCAATCTGTTAATATCTATCTATCTATTTATCTATCTATCTGCTTATTCATATCTATCTGAATATGTTCATATCTCTCTCAATCTGTTAATATCTATCTATCTATCTATCTATCTATCTATCTATCTATCTATCTATCTATCTATCTATCTCAATATGTTCATATCTATCTGCCTGTTCATATCTATCTCAATATGTTCATATTTTTCTCAATCTATCTATCTATCTATCTATCTATCTATCTATCTATCTATCTATCTATTCATATCTATATGAATATTTTCATATCTCTCTCAATTTGTTAACATCTATCTATCTATCTATCTATCTATCTATCTATCTATCTGCCTATTCATATCTATCTGCCTATGTTCATATCTCTCTCAATCTGTTAATATCTATCTATCTATCTATCTATCTATCTATCTATCTATCTATCTATCTATCTATTCAAAATCTATCTGCCTATTCATATCTATCTGCCTATTCATATCTATCTGAATATGTTCATATCTCTCTCAATCTGTTAATATCTATCTATCTATCTATCTATCTATCTATCTATCTATCTATCTATCTATCTATCTATTAAAGTACATCGTAACTGATTGCATATTAGCACCCGGATATTATTTATATTTGCTTTTACAACAGGCTGTGCTTAAGCTCTGGTCATTTCGGGTGTCTAATTAAGATTTGACTCATGAATAACTCCACTTCTGTAAATGAAATATATTTTTGACACATTTTTGTGGAGAAAATGTCTGGATCTTATGTGCCATTGAATATAGTCACGACAAATATTGTAAATACATCGAATTGTAAACTTATGGCTATTAATTGAAAATGACGGTTAAAATCTAATCCCTAATATACACATGTAACGTTTCTTATAACGTTTCATACATACCAGACAGTACTTACAGGATAACATAAAAAATGCCCCCTATATACGCACAGGCACGCGTGCAAACACACACATTTGTTCGAACTGCCGGTTCGTCTAAATTATGCCTACATCATTAAAGGCAAGAGATATTGAATGAAGAGTAGTCAAAATTTAGACGTAAATTACCAATTGATAACGCGCACTAATTTTGAAAATGTTGGAACTTACATAAAACAACATATAGCGCTAATTGATTGATCTAAACAATGACTTGACTCTGAGAGTTTTGAGTTCAATACCTGACCACAGAAGAGGGAATAAAAAAGTGGATATTTGAGTCGCCAAGGGGAATTAACTGAAACTGAGTTATCCAAAGGTATGGCGCGTGGAATTAGAATAATCTAGACCCATAGACAAAAAAAAAAAAAAAAATTCGATTCGAAATTCCAAGAAATATCACCTGAAGACGGCTGGAGTGTAGAACGCCCGAAACGTCGTGAATATGTCAATATTAACTTAAAATTTTGAGTGCAGTTTCATTCTCAAGCGATGATTAGAATGACTGACTTTCTTCAGTTAGTTATTCTAAATATCGTTTGAGAATAAAACTGCACTCAAATTTTTACGCTTAATATTGAAATGAAACTTTAACATGGGTCAAGTTTCGAAATATTGTAATTTATGTGTCGTGATTACTGTATCGAGCACTGTTTTTTTTTTTTTAAATAAAAACTTAAATAATAACGAACTTTGGATCATTAATCTAAATGTTCTTTCCTATTACATCAGTACATCTGAATAGATATTATAGCAGGATTTCGTTGTCAAGCTTTTGAATCTTTCTATACTTCGTTTTTGATTGGTTATTCTAGCTTTTGTAACAATGCTCCCCCTAGTGTAGGATCGTTAATTAATCTGAAACTTTTTAAACCATTTATTTTATTTTCAACATCATCACTTGAGAAGACACAGAATGTGTTGAAACAAAATGGCTATTTTTGTAGTGATCTTATAACATACTTATGTTATAATTTTTATAAAAAAATAATTATATATATATATATATATATATATATATATATATATATATATATATGTGTGTGTGTGTGTGTGTGTGAGAGAGAGAGAGAGAGAGTGTGTGTGTGTGCTAGAGAGAAAATGATATGTAAATCTTAATATACCTGAACAATGTTTGTAAAATTAATGACAAAATGTCAATAAAACTAATCGTTAGATGATCCACAGTAAATTTGCGTCCAGGTTCTTAAATTTCACGTTTCGTGGCTGATCTTTTATTATCACATTATTGGATGGTGAATAACAAAAGCGCTACAGACATAAAAAAAGAATCTAAATGGAATTAGCTATAATATATAACCGTACACATATATTTTAAATAAAAATTAAGTTTCCACTTTGAAATTGAAATTATACATATATATATATATATATATATATATATATATATATATATATATATATAGTGGAGGAAACAAATATTCGTATTTTTTTATTGTATTTCTAAAAAAATGAATAAACATAATTTTCATACAATTAACTGTACCCAGATGCATATACATAGAGAACAGAAAGAAATTGATTTAATAGAAATAAATCCGATTTATCCATTTTAATGGGTGTAATAAGTATTCATACAATGCAAATTTCAGATTTTAAAACTTTTGTTTTAATACTCTAGATTATTTAAGTGGAATAGATTGTTCCAGTAAAGTTTTCAATAGTTATTTTTAGCTTAATAACTACAAACAGAACATTCTGTAATTGATATTCATGCAAGAAGGTTATCATCATGGCAACAGGTAAGAATTGACAAATTCGCAAAAACAACTGATTTTTAAGCCCTGAAAGAAGGTAAAAGTTACAAGAAAATCTCATAAAATTTGAATATTCCTTTTTTTACCATTAGTTCATATAACGGAATAAAAAACTCAAAACTGTTGACATCCAAATCAGAAAAGGTACTCCAGGGAAGATTTCTTCAAGATCTTTCAGGAAATAAAGGCTTCAAATTTAACAAAATCCAATGGTTACTCGTCAAGCGTTGCAGGATGATTAGCTTTTATCAGGAATCTATGTCACTAAACAGACAATAAGCAATTAAATTCATAGGAACAAGTCTCGCTCCCTTCGGAGAACTCTACTGCTACTGAAAAGACACAGAGATGCCAAGTTGAAATTCGTTCATGAACATTAGGATAAGGAAAAATCATATTGGGAAAGAGTATTCTGGACAGACGGGACCAAAATTGAGTTGTTCGAACGTAATTCTAGAAATCAGGTATGGAGGAAAGATGGCGATGCCTTCAAACAAATGAACACAGTTCCAACAGTGAAATTTAGTGGTGGCAGAATCATGGTTTGGGGATATTTTTCTGCAAAAGGTATTGGCAACATATCAATAATAGATGGCAGAATGAATGCCAAAGCATATCAAAATAATTTTGAAGTAAATTTAAAGATTTCGGTTGAAAAATTTGAACTCCCTTCTGACTGAATCTTCCAACAAGATAATGATCCTAAGCACACTGCAAAATCTACGAAGAAATGGTTTGCTGAAAATAATATAAATATCCTGAAATGGCCAAGTCAGTCCTCAGTTTTAAACCCAATCGAAATCTTTGGTGTTATTTGAAAATTCAAATCGAATAGAGAGATCCAAAAAATATTCCTGATCTGAAGACCGTATACGAAGGAAAATGGAACAAAATACCAACTAAAATTTGCAAATCATGAATTGAGAACTACAAGAAGAGGTTCGTTCCTATAGAATTGAATAATGGCTATTCTGAAAAGTATTAAATGAAGATTATATATATTTTGTATTGTACGAATACTTTTTTCACCGATTAAAATGGATAAATGGGATTTATTTCTATTAAATAATTTTTTTTTCTCTTTTCTATGCATACTTAGTTAGTATCCATCTGTGTACAATGAGTTAAGTATGTATATCCATTAGTTAAAAATACAATAAATAAAAGACTTGTATGTGTACGAATATTTGTTTTCCCCTACTGTATATATTTGCTCGCAGTAAACTAATATTTTTTTCTATATTCTATGGACGGTTTTATCGTCCT